ATTATGCAATTAATTTCTAAAAATCAAATAATTAAAGGAAAAATCCTAATTTTGAGAATCCTGTAGGAGTAAATCATGCGAGGCAAAAATTACGTGCTCACAGCTGCCCCTCTTTGTTCGGAGACACGAAGGGTTTTCGGGCAAAGATAAATGAGCAATTATGAGGGATTTTTGCCCGCTTGGCACTCCATGAGAAGCATTTTTTGAAAAATGTCTGACCGAACCTTACTTCAGAGGTTGCCTACATATCCTTGGCTATAAAGGAATCAGGTCAGTGTAGTTCTGGAAGTTTTGGTAGCTGGGACTACCGGGAACTGTGATTTCACTGCTGATGCTGCTGCTACATGCTTGCTGACCTCCTTATTACACCGAAAAAGGAAAATCAAAAGCTAAGCTAGCTAGGCTTATTAACTATGAGTTACAAGATTCCTATCTATAAATCTCTTGAAGCTTGATCTTGAGTCTTAGCTGATTTTGCTGTGGACCCCGATCTGAATCTTGATGCTCGCAGGCTGTAGGTGCTGGTTCTTTCTTCAGCATTTGGATCAAAACTGGACATGCGAAGCTTGTGATTTCAATCAAATTTTGAGCAGTCCGCATCTTTGTCTGCTCCAGCATTTTGAATTCACTTCTTTTGTTCTTTTCTTCTTTTCTTTATTCTGGATCGAGACTCATTCTTTTGGTCGTCTCGAATCCTGTGCCTTGAGGTAAAACCTGTTCGGACACCAAAACAAACAAACGAACGAAATTTTCTGCCCTAGTTTTCACTAGGAAAATTTCGTGAGTTATTTGCAACAAAATCTAATTTTTTTTTTGAAAGCAAATAAAATAAGGATTGCATCTATCTAGAAGGGAAAAGACCAGGGGATGGAGCCTTTTATCTAAAAATGTCAACTCAGGGATTGGAGCCCTAATGTTGGAGAAAAGGCGACTAGGGAATGGAGGCCCTATGTCTAATAAGGCTCAACTCAGGGATTGGAGCCCTAATGTTTGCCAAAGGCGACTAAGGAATGGACGCCCTATGTCTAAAAGGTTCAAGTCAGGGATAGGAGCCCTAATGTTGGCAGAAGGCGACTAGGGAATGGAGGCCCCATGTCTAAAAGAGGCACAAGTCAGGGATTGGAGCCCTAATGTTGGCAAAATGCGACTAGGGAATGGAGGCCCTATGTCTAAAAAGCTCAACTCAGGGATTGGAGCCCTAATATTGGCAAAAGGCGCCTAGGGAATGGAGTCCCTATGTCTAAAAAGGCACAACTCAGGGATTGGAGCCCTAATGTTGGCAAAAGGCGACTAGGGAATGGAGGCCCTATGTCTAAAAAGGCACAACTCAGGGATTGGAGCCCTAATGTTGGCAAAAGGCGACTAGGGAATGGAGGCCCTATGTCTAAAAAGGCACAACTCCGGAATTGGAGCCCTGATGATGGCAAAAGGCGACTAGGGAATCTCAACTTAGGGATTGGAGCCCTAATGTCGGCAAAAGGCGACTAGGGAATGGAGGCCCTATGTCAAAAAAGGCACAACTCAGGGATTGGAGCCCTAATGTTGGCAAAAAGGCGACTAGGAAATGGAGGCCCCATGTCTAAAAAGGCACAACTCAGGGATTGGAGCCCTAATATTGGCAAAAGGCGACTAGGGAATGGAGGCCCTATGTCTAAAAAGGCACAACTCAGGGATTGGAGCCCTAATATTGTCAAAAGGCGACTAGGGAATGGAGGCCCTATGTCTAAAAGGTTCAACTCAGGGATTGGAGCCCTAATGTTGGCAAAAGGCGACTAGGGAATGGAGGCCCTATGTCTAAAAAGGCACAACTCAGGGATTGGAGCCCTAATGTTGGCAAAAGGCGACTAGGGAATGGAGGCCCTATGTCTAAAAAGGCACAACTCACGGATTGGAGCCCTAATGTTGGCAAAAGGCGACTAGGGAATGGAGGCCCTATGTCTAAAAAGGCACAACTCAGGAATTGGAGCCCTAATGATGGCAAAAGGCGACTAGGGAATCTCAACTCAGGGATTGGAGCCCTAATGTTGGCAAAAGGCGACTAGGGAATGGAGGCCCTATGTCTAAAAAGGCAAAACTCAGGGATTGGAGCCCTAATGTTGGCAAAAGGCGACTAGGGAATGGAGGCCCTATGTCTAAAAGGCTCAACTCAAGGATTTGAGCCCAAATGTTGGCAAAAGGCGACTAGGGAATGGAGGCCCTATGTCTAAAAAGGCATAACTCAGGGATTGGAGCCCTAATGTTGGCAAAAGGCGACTAGGGAATGGAGGCCCTATGTCTAAAAAGGCACAACTCAGGAATTGGAGCCCTAATGTTGGCAAAAGGCGACTAGGGAATGGAGGCCCTATGTCTAAAAAAGGCACAACTCAGGGATTGGAGCCCTAATATTGTTAAAAGGCGACTAGGGAATGGAGGCCCTATGTCTAAAAAGGCGCAACTCAGGGATTGGAGCCCTAATGTTGACAAAAGGCGACTAGGGAATGGAGGCCCTATGTCTAAAAAGGCGCAACTCAGGGATTGGAGCCCTAATATTGGCAAAAGGCGACTAGGGAATGGAGGCCCTATGTCTAAAAAGGCACAACTCAGGGATTGGAGCCCTAATGTTGGCAAAGCATAAAAGATTGATATTGGGATTCTAAACTATCAAATTTTTTTGAATTTTCTTCTTCTTATTTTTTTTAAATGAGATGCAGGAAAGAACTCGGAGGAAACTTCCCTTTGGATTGAATATTCGCTGCAAAGCTGTTTCAGCACCTGCGCTTTTCTTTTCCTTTTTGGGTTGCACCTGCTTCTTGCATGGTTGCTTGGATTGCACCTATTTCAATTTTCAAACAAAGAACAATTGTTAGTTTGAAACGGTGGTTGGTTTTGTGGCCTTGATCGTCTCAATTGCTTGATCTCGGCCCAGCTTCTGTTGAGAACCTCTACTGTTTGCATGTTTTGAAGAACTTTTGAGATTTCATGACGACTCGCCCGCGTGGGGCTTTGACCCTTTCACTTTATTCTGCCCTTAGGGCCTTTGTCCTTGACTTTCTTTTCCTTTTCAATAACTTTGATTTCAGAGCATCGGCCATCATGGCCAGTCGGGATCGACTTGATGCACCCGCTGAGGCTGGGTACTTTTCTTTAGCTTTTGTTAGGCAGAGCCCTGTAAAGCCAATCTTGCCACCTTTTCTTTGTATTTGTTTCGGAAACAAAGTTAGACTGAAAGGGATTCAAGGTAAAGTAAACAAAAGGCAAGAAAATTAATTTAAAGAGAAGTGTCCCTTTCGGGAAGGAAGGAAGGATGCAGGCTTCAAATAGACATGACATGCTTCTTGGACTGGATGCCTGACCCGCTCAAACTTTCCCAACTTCTCATAAACTCATTGTGACCCGTGTTTCAAAACCAGGGAATCTTGCCAGGACTCTTTCAGTGGTGGGAGGTGTCTTCTTTTCGACCGACGGCGCCCTTTGCGGGTTTTTGCCAATCGACCTCTCTCATTTCTCTTCTCACCGTCGCCCGCTAATGCTCTTTACAAGTATTCACTAAACGGGCTCTCTCGTTTTCAATTTCTGTGCTCACCGTCGCCTTATGGTGCCCGTAGGTTTTCACCAATAAGACTCTCTCATTTTATTTCTCTCATTTTGATTGTATCAGGTTCCGACAATGGTGTTTTCCGATTCCAACGCCTTTGCCAATTGATCGGAAAGACTTAGACAAGGTTTGGGTAAAAAGAATCTAGATGGAATTATAACTTTGGAACATTCTGGCGGGCTCATTGCCGGCCTGTTTTTGGTGTGACTGAACCCCAGTCTACGATCCTTTTGGAATCAAGTCAGACGTAGTGGGTTTTTTTCTTTTTTTTTTTTCATTTTTTATCATTTTTATTCTTCATTTTTTTTTCAATAGTACTTTCGGGTTCCAAAGAGGGTGATCAAGGAAGAGTGACCGGCTCAAAGGGTTTGCGAAAGATTGATAGTGTTTGGATAGCAAGAGAAAGCATTCCTCATCCCAATTGAACAAAGTCATTGCTGCAGAAAGCCTAGACATAGTACCTTTTTACTGCATCCGCATTCACAGCTGCTTCGGGATCATTTCCTTCGATATCACCCAGATACAATGCTCCTCTCAGCAATATCTTTCTAGTGATGTATGGGCCCTTCCAATTAGGAGCAAACTTTCCTTTTGCTTCCTGGTGATGAGGAAGAATGCGCCTTAACACAAGTTGTCCCACTTCAAAATTCCTGGGCCGCACTTTCTTGTTATAAGCACGGGCCATTCTTTGTTGGTACAACTATCCGTGGCAGACCGCAGCCATTCGCTTTTCATCAATTAAGGTTAGCTGTTCCAGACGGGTCTTGACCCACTCACTGTCCTCAATCTCGAATTCAACGATGATCCGGAGAGAAGGGATTTCCACCTCTGCGGGTATTACGGCCTCAGTTCCATAGACCAAAAGGTATGGGGTTGCTCCTACCGATGTGCGCACCGTAGTGCGATATCCCAGTAATGCGAAAGGCAACTTTTCATGCCATTTCCTGGAGCTCTGAATTATCTTTCTCAAAATCTTCTTGATGTTCTTGTTTGCTGCTTCAACAGGACCATTGGCTTTGGGACGATAGGGAGTAGAGTTCCTATGTGTTATTTTGAATTGTTCGCATATCTCTCCCATCAAATGACTATTCAGGTTTGCAGCATTATCTGTGATGATAATTGCAGGAATGCCAAAACGGCAAATAAGATTGGAGTGCACAAAATCTACCACAACTTTCTTGGTGACCGATTTGAGAGTGATGGATTCAAGCCACTTCGTGAAGTAGTCAATGGCAACCAGTATGAATCTGTGCCCATTTGAGGCTTTCGGCTCGATCGGCCCAATGACGTCCATGCCCTAAGCGACAAATGGCCAAGGTGCTGATATGGGGTGCAGTTCTGTCGGAGGTGCATGAATCAAATCACCGTGCACCTGACACTAATGACACTTCCGAACAAAGATGAAACAATCTTTTTCCATGGTTATCTAGTAGTAGCCTGCTCGGAGGATTTTCTTTGCCAAAACATACCCTTTCATGTGGGGTCCGCACACTACTGCGTCTATTTCATGCATGATCCTTCCAGCCTCTTCTGCATCAACACATCTTAACAAATTGAGGTCCGGAGTTCTTTTATACAAGACATCACCACTCAAAATGAAACCACTCGCGTGTCGTCTAATGGTTCTCTTTTGGTCCCCACTGGCTTGCTCAGGGTATTCTTGCATTTTTAGAAACCTTTTGATGTCATGGTACCATGGCTGGGTGTTTGGTTCTGCCTCAACCGTAGCACAGTAGCCGTGCCTTTCCCTGATTTGGATTTCCAAGGGATCAATGCGGGCATTGCTTGGATGTGGTAGCATTGAGGCCAAAGTAGCAAGTGCATCGGCAAATTCGTTGTGACAACGAGGGATGTACCTGAACTCTATTGATTTGAATCGCTTTCTGAGGTCTTCCACATGCTGTTTGTAAGGTATAAGCTTAACATCTTGGGTTTCCCATTCTCTCTGGGCTTGCCGGATAATCAGATCTGAGTCTCCCATTATCAACTGCTCTTCGACATCTTGGTCGATTTCCATATTCATACCCATAATGCAGGCTTCATACTCGGCAGTGTTGTTTCTACAGAAAAACCAAAGCCTGGCTCTAGTCGGATAATGCTGTCCAGTGGGCGAGATCAAGATTGCCCCAATTCCAACACCTTTTGCGTTTACCGCTCCGTCGAAGAACATTTTCAAGAATTGGTGTCTTCGAATATTGCCTCAACTGAGTTTACCTCTTCGTCCGGGAAGTAAGTATTCAGAGGTTGGTATTCATCATCGACCGGATTTTCAGCCAAATGGTCAGCTAACGCCTGGGCCTTCATTGCCGTGCGGGTGTCATATACTATGTCGAATTTCGTAAGTAGGATCTGCCGCTTTGCTAATCTTCATGTGGGCATTGGTTTCTGGAATATGTATTTCAAAGGATCCAACCTGGTTATAAGGTAAGTGGTGTAGGCTTGTAGATAATGTCTCAGCTTCTGAGCGACCTAAGTTAAGGCACAACAGGTTCTTTCCAGCAGAGTATACTTAGCTTCATAGCTGGTAAACTTCTTGCTCAAATAGTAGATCGCCTGTTCTCTCTTCCCGGTTACATCATGTTGCCCGAGGACACAGCCGAAAGAATTTTCCAAGACTGTCAGGTACAAGAAAAGAGGCCTCCCTGGCTCTGGTGGAACCAAGACTGGCGGACTTGACAGATATTCCTTGATCTTATCAAAAGCTTCTTGACATTCATCCGTCCACTTGATTGTTGCATCTTTCTTCAGCAATTTGAATATGGGCTCACATGTGGATGTCAACTGAGCAATGAACCGACTGATATAGTTTAATCTGCTCAACAAGCTCATCACATCTTTCTTGGTTCTCGGAGGAGGCAAATCCCGGATAGATTTTATTTTTGTTGGATCTAACTCGATACCTCTCCGGCTGAATATAAAACCCAAAAGTTTGCCCGATGGGATTCCAAACGCACATTTGGCTGGGTTCAGCTTCAAATCATATTTGCTCAACCGCTCAAAGAATTTTCTCAAGTCTCGAACATGTTCATCCTGGGTTTTGGACTTGATGATTACGTCGTCCACATACACCTCTAGCTCTTGATGCATCATATCATGGAAAATGGCGGTCATGGCCCTCATGTAGGTTGCCCCAGCATTCTTCAGACCAAACCTATGTCTAAAAAGGCACAACTCAGGGATTGCAGCCCTAATATTGGCAAAAGGCGACTAGGGAATGGAGGCCCTATGTCTAAAAAGGCACAACTCAGGAATTGGAGCCCTAATGTTGGCAAAAGGCGACTAGGGAATAGAGAGAGATGATTACCGGCCCGTTGATTTGTGAGGCTGGTAGTGGGTTATAGTCACATTGGGGACATCTTCGTCTCTTCAGCACTATCTTCCTTTGTTCTATCAAGTTCTCCACCTTCTCTCTTCAAAGTCCAGTAATCATCCGTGTCGTGCCCTTCCGCCCCTGAGTGATAGGCACATCGGGCACCAGCTCTGTAAGTGGGTGATGCTGGGTTTTGCCTTGTTGAGGAACTGGCTGGAGCAGACCCATTTTGGACAAGCTTCGAAACAGAATGGAGTAGGATTCGCCGATTGTGTAAAATTTGGCCTCCTCAGGTGGTTCACGGGGGTGAAAGTTGTTTTGTGGAGGGACGGGGGTTGTAGTGGTTTTGGTAAGGAGGCTGGTTTCTAGGAAAATGGAGCTTGTTCCAGTTGGCTTGCTGCTGAGGCCGGACATAAGTTGAGCATTCAATGACTGTGTATGGCTGAGGAGCATAGGCCAGGTCCTGGTGAGGGTATAGTTGCTGCGGGGTCCTTTCTGGGAAAAGGGATCTGGGAGTACGGGTGTTTTCTTGCACCCGACGCTGCCATGGATGTTTCTTCCTTTTTCTTTCCCTTCGCTAATTCCTTCCAGACCCACCCTGAATGGCTTGGGAGGTAGCTCTGATAGCGATTGGCTTAGAATTCGGCCACGTTTTCAACCCATTTTCAACAATTTCGCCAATTCTTGATGGCTTCAGCGAACCGGTTTACCCATTGCGGACATCATATTTTGGAAGTAGTCAGCTTCCTGAGCTTGGAGGAAAACTGTGATCATTTCAACCTCATCCATCGGAGGCTTTACCCTGGAGGCCTGCTCATGCCATTTAACTACGTACTCTCGGAAGCTTTCCGAGGATTTTTCTTTAGGTTTGTCAATGAGTTTCCTATCTGGAGCAATATCAATGTTGTACTGGAACTGCCTGACGAAATCTCTAGCAAGATCATCCCAGATGTGCCGGCGGGATATGTCTTGGTCCATGTACCATTCAGATGCGGATGCCAACCAAACTTTCTCCGAAATAGGCCATGAGGAGTTCTTCCTTCTACTGGCTCCTCGCAGCTGGTTGCAATATCTCTTGAGATGAGCAATAGGATCACCGTGTCCATCATACTTCTCAAATTTTGGGGTTTTGAATCCCATGGGTAGATGCACATGAAGGAAACATGCATAAATCGGCATAAGACACACTTTTCTACCCACTCAAGCCTTGTATGTTCTTGAGGCTTTGTTCCATTACTCCTCATCATTCTCGCAATTTCTTCTTGCTCAGGAGTTTTGGTAGTCTTTCTTGCCCTGCAGTGAAACTCAAATTGGAGGCGGCTTGAGAATAAGTATAAGTGGGAAACCGAGGAGTTCATTTGGAAGGTGGGTGTTTGGAAGGTGAAAGCTGAGGGGTCAAAACTGGGCCTAGGCAGTGTAGGCTGTGCTGTGCCGAGCATGGGGGAGCGGTTGAAGATATTTGAAGCTGCACCAGACATTAACACCTGGGGCGAACCTCATAAGGTGTTCCCACAAAATGAGCTGAGATAGTCGGGTTCCTAGTGGTGTATTTGGGTGACTGATCAGAACAGTGAAGGTACCACTTGCTCTAGGAAAAAGTTCGGGGAATCCCGGGATTGCTTGGCGGCTCTCTTCCATTTTGCCCAAGCGTCCCACAATTTCATAACCGAAGACGCAGGATTCTGTTTTCTTCGGCAGCTGCCGATTCTGAGGTCGGGATGCCCGAGATTGGGCTTCGTCCGTGATGGGAATTGTTGGCAGAGTCATTTCTGAAGACATTCCGATGCTCTCCTTTGATCTAGTAAAGTATGGGTGCGAAGCCAGTTACCACAAAAACCAACCACCGTTCTATATAAAAAATCTGAACAGAAGTAGTAACAGCAACAAACGGTTAGTTTGAAACAAATAACAGATAGGTAATCACACGTTGGGATATGATGCACCTATACAGTTAAATGTATTTCTGCCATGTTTTGCAACAGTTGCATGCTTCATCCCGGCTTTACTTATTTTCTCCATTTTTTCTTCCTTCCACTTTCACTCTTCCCTTTCATCTCTCTTTTTGTTTTTCTTTTCTTTTCTTCTCTTGCCCTTTTTTCTCTCATTTTTCATTGCTCTTTTTTTATCACTCTTTTTTTCT